CTTCCCCCCAGCGGCAACTGCAGCAGCGGGAAAGAAAGGAGGAGGAGGAGGGGAAGGGAAGTTGGTCTCACACCCGCCATCCCAATGCGACTCCCCCAGCTCCCCCACACCCTCACACCCTCCCCCCAGCGGCAGCTGCAGCAGTGGGAAAGAAAGGAGGAGGAGGGGAAGGGAAGCATACCACCCATCACCCCAACACCCGCCACCCCCATACCCTCCCCCCCACGGCTGCAAGGAAACGAAGGAGGAGGGGGTGGGCGGGGAGAAAGCCGCAGAGCGGCTACAGTTGGTCGGCGCGGGTAGGTCAGGGGCGGCTGCAGGGAGTGCAGGCGCGGGGAGAGGTAGAGGCGGCTGCACCGAGTGCAGGAGCGAGGGCGACTGCTCCAAGGGCAGGCGCCGGGTGGTGCAGGGGCGGCTGCAGCAAGTGTAGGCGCGAGTGAGACACCGCCGAGTGCGCCACGGGCGGGTACGCGGCGGCTCAGGTAGGTAGGTAGGTAGTGCACCGTCGCACGCCACGGGGCGCACGACGGGCAGGGCACCGTCGCGTGCCACGGGGCGCACGACGGGCAGTTCAGGTAGGTAGGTAGTTTAGTTCCCCGTCGCACGCCACGGGGCGCACGACGGGCAGGGTAGATGTCACTCACCATTCGAGGGCGGGACATTAACGAAAATCGCCACGCGACCTAGGCGCGCGACCGGAAAAGAACAGCAGCGGAAGCATACGGCGGGCCCACAGGCCAGGACGAAACTTGCTCTGATAGCATGTCGTGAAACTAGTACAATAGGTAGTTAGAGAATAGTTCGGCCTAGGCTAAGTAGCCTAGGCCAAGGAGGATCGAGTTGGTTGTGCCAAGGGTGTCGAGAAAATTTTGGGAAAAGTGTTGAGTTCACTATAGGTTTGCAATCACATATATGCAAGTGAACAAAGGTGCACCACCTAACACAGTTTGTAATAACTACTCTAACTACAGCTACAGGCAGTTACAGATATAAACTCTGACAGACGCTTCTTGGGCTGAAGACCAGTCTACGCAGCGGTCGTCACAGGGTTACACCTTCAGCCTTGGTTCCGGCTCTGTTTCATGGCGGGCTACTCGCTCGTCTTCTGTTCTCGGCTCCAGTTGTGAGGCCGAGATCTACGCCGGGGCCATGGCTGCACAAGAGCTTCGCGGGCTCACCTACCTGCTTACCGACCTTGGAGAGCCGCCTTGTTCTCCTCCAGTCTTGTACGTAGACAACAAGGCCATGCTGGCCTTGTGTCAAGAGCAGAGACTGGAGCACAGAACAAAGCACATTGCTCTTTGCTACTTCCTTGCTCGTGAGCTACAGCAGCGTGGTCAGTTGCGGCTTGCGTACGCGGCCTCTGAGGCCAACACTGCTGATGTTTTCACCAAGGCACTTGCGCCTTGTGATCATCAGCGCTTCTGTACTCAGCTTGGTCTTGTGCCTGTCTTGCCTCACTTGCTCACTTCTTGACCTTGCTTGTACTGTCACATATATATACTCCTGCTCTTGCTTGTGTAGCCTCTTATATATATATGTGTGCTCCTGCATGTGAACTTGCCTTCTGGCCTTGAACTTGTGCTCGGACTGTGTGGTGACTTTGTGATCCACCCTGAGCTTGCTTTGCTTTGCTTTGCTTGACTGGTCTTGTGACCCCTTGTACTCCCCCACTTTGCCTATGGGGGTGTGTCTGATTTATATGACATAGCTATTGTAGGCTATAGTGGGGTAGCACATATGGGGTACAACTTTTCTAGGGTTTGTATTTGTACCCAACTTTCACTTAGTCATTCTCATTCTCGTTCTAACTATCTCAAGTCTCTCCCCTTGTACGCACCACGCTCACATAAAATGGGGCATGCACTGTTGGGCCGAGAAAAGCCCTTAGGATCTCTTCAAGGCTAAGACCCTGAGTAGGAATGGTGTGATTGCAGAAGCGTTTTAATGTACTGTTGAACCAACTTGCACTAGTGTGTGAGAGCACGAGATTGATTATAGCAAAGTAATACAAAGTAATACAAAGCTTTTACAAAGATTACAAGGAATATGAAAAGATGCAACCAACTGTTTTACTGTTGCTGTTACGGTTCGATATAGCGACGACTCGAGCAAGTGCTCAGAACCGAGTCAGTTGTTTGTCCTTGCTATCGCGCTGCTTATTGTCAAGTCAAAGGTTGGCGACCTTAGACCTTCGCGTAACCTCCAGGTGTTATGTTTTGTCAACGTCCTTGGTTGATTCGCTGTTGCTTCACTATAACGTGCCTCGTTTGCAGTTCAATGTTCTGACGCATCACAAGCATTAAATTACTTGTTTCCAACACTCCCCTTCACTTCTGGAGTGTCGTTGCTGGTGACGTGGCCTTGTCCAGTCAGCAACATGCAGTATTCGAACTTCTGCTTTTTGAGTTTCTTGGTCAAATAATCAGCTTCCATTTCGTATCTGGGGCAGTAGGACAGTTCGAGTCTCCCCTTCTCGATCTTGTCCTTCACGAAGAAATATCGCAGGGCGATGTGCTTCGTTCGATTCGCGAACCCGCTCTTATTCGTGTCAAATTATATGCCTATGTCATAATAAAATGTAGGCTTTAGTGGGGTAGCTAATGTAGGGTATAATTTTTTGTTACTTGTACCCAACTTTCTCGATAGTGCAACCACCTTTTTCCCTGTACTATCGACATGGTATTAAGAGCAACATAGGTGTGAGGATCTTGTCAGTAGATCTGCACTGTGGATGCCCGATTGATCCTGGAGAGGGTTACAGGCACGTTCGACTGGGGGGTTATAGGCGCACTGACCCGCTTTTGAAACAAGCCCTTTTATCCCAACGGTCTAGTGGTTGGAATTCTGACATGGTATCAGAGCTGTCTCGGGTTCGATTCCCGGTGTATGCACATGTAGGCCGTTGCCGCTGTGCTTAGTCCTGGGCCTCCCAGTGTAGGGGGGTGTCAGTAGAATTGCACTGTGGATGCCTGATTGATCCTGGAGAAGGTTACAGGTGCGTTCGCCTGGGGGGTTATGGGCGCACTGACCCGCTACTGAAACAAGCCCTTTTATCCCAATGGTCTAGTGGTTGGGATTCTGACAGATCTAGGATCCAGCTCAGAAAAGCAAATGAGAATTGAGTCGAATTGAATGATCACCTGGGTACAACACAAGGCTATATATAGGCTCGACACAAGGCCCCGTAACCAGGTGTTACCCGAAGGTTCCGCGGGTCGCGTAGTGTCGCGAACAGATCCTTACCGAATTCGGTAGAAGGCAATTGGGTGGCAACCGAAAAGGCCAGAATTCGGTGCACGTAACCTAGCTCGGTGCTATAACTATAATATTATGTAGGAAAGCACCTAGCCTAGGAAATCAAGCAATTCATGCATGCATATGATTATCCTATGCTAGAAATAGCATAATAAAGTAAAGGCAAGCAAGCATAGCTGGCATAAGCCGTCGTACTCTCACACGTCCCCCCCTCAAAGCTGGGTGGCGTGAGAAACACCCTGCTTGATAAGATAGTCCTTTAGAGCACGGCGTGCATTGCCCATATCAGCTTCTGCAACTCAACTGTCCTCAGTGGGGTCGTATCCCTTCCAGCGTATCAGGAACTCGAGGGTCTTGCCGCCGCGACGCCGATGAGAGAGAACGCGCTCGATCTCATACTCGGGTTCATCCTGCACAAGAATAGGTGGAGGTGGCGGTAGCTGCCGTCCCTGGAACTGTTGGTTGGGGTCCTTGTAGGGTTCTCACGAGCTGCACATGGAAAGCATTGTGAAGCTTCCAAGAAGTAGGTAAGCGCAAGCGGAATGTAACTCGTGTCACCTGTGCCTCTACGAGAAAAGGACCACAGAAGCGAGGTCGGAGTTTGGATGGGAGGTGAGACAGGTTCAAGTTGAGCGTGTCAAGAAGCACCTGATCTCCGACTGCTACTGAGTGATCACGTCGCTGACGATTGGCATACTGCTTCTAGGAGGTCTGCATCGTGGTGAGTTTATCGCTGATTCTTTTCCCATAGCTGTTGCATGGTGGTAACAAAGTCATGTGCGGCTTGGACGTGTGCCGGTGTGGTTGGCTGCTGTGGTGTGAGTGGTTCCCATCCGTAACATAGGAAGAAAGGAGTTTTCCCTGTGGCCGCATGTGATGCGTTGTTATAAGCGAACTCTAGGGTCGGTAACTGTGTCTCCCAGTGGCTGATGTCATCCTTGCAAGCCGTGCGCAGTAACTGTTCAACCACTTGATTGAGTCGTTCGGTCTGTCCGTCAGTCTGTGGGTGGTATGCTGAGGACATCGCAAGTTTGGTCCCCAATAATCCCATGAGCTCCTTCCAGAACTTACTCGTGAATTTGGGGTCTTTGTCTGAGATGAGTGTAGCGGGGATGGTGTGGATGGTGATGATGCGGTCGAAGAAGAGGCAAGCACTTGCTTCAGCTGTAGCTGTGGCGTTGGTCGGTATGAAGTGACCCATTTTGGAGAACTTATCGATGACTACGAGGATGGAATCGTGCCCCCGTGAGGTCGAAGGAAGTCCTGTGATAAAGTCGAGGCTAACGACCTGCCATGGCTGCTCCGGTACGGGAAGAGGCTGACGTAACCCTGCTTTTTTCTGCTTGCTACTCTTCATCCGCTGGCACGTGTCGTAAGAGGTGACGAAGTGCTGCACGTCCGCTGCCATCCCGGGCCAGTAGTAATACTTCTCTATCTCAGCTAACGTCTTGTTGCTCCCGAAATGTCGTGCGTATGGTACGTCGTGAAACTCCTCCAATAGGATCTGCCATAGCAGGGCGTGATTCAGTACCCAAATCTTTCCTAAACCCTTCCTTACAACTACGTCTTTCTCCCACTGTAACAGCTTCTTGGTCTGTGCTGTAGCGATCTCTGCGTCCACTAAGTACCCATGTTGGAATAGACCCTTGAGGAGAGGGCTCATCCCGTCGAGCTGGATGCCTGCTACATGTCCGGGGCGGCTCAACGCGTCTGCCTTGTTGTCCAGCCCGGGCTTGTAGACGATGTCGTAGTGGAAGTGAGTTTCCAGGAAGTCCACCCACCGCACCTGTCGTCGTGAGAGCGTCGGCTGCGACTTCAGGTATTTGAGACTGCAGTGGTCAGTATAGACTATAGTCTTGGCTCCCTCTAGGTAACACCTCCACGCCTTGCGCTGCTACTCTGTGTTCGGCACGCCCCATGGCGTGCCCCTCGCCCTACTCTTAGCGGCCCCGTTGCCGCCCTTCTAGGCCCCTCGCGGCCCCTTTGCGTCCCCGTTGCCGCCCTTCCAGGCCCCTCGCGTCCCCTTCGCGGCCCCGTCGCCGCCCCCTTCGCGGCCCGTTGCCGCCCTTCCAGGTCCCTCGCAGCCCCTATCGGGCCCGTCAACGCCACCAGCGGCCCCGTCGCCGATCCTAGCCTCCCCGTCGCCGCCGCCAGCGGCCCCGTCACCGCCGCCAGCGGCCCTGTCGCCGACCCTAGCAGCCGCGTCGCCGCTCCTATCGGCCCTGTCGCCGCCGCCAGCGGCCCCGTCGTCGCCGCCAGTCGCCCTGTCGCCGCCTCCAGCGGCCGCGTCGCCGCCATTTGCAGCCCCGGCGTCGCCCCGGCCATGCCCCGTCGCCAGCCGCGGCGCACCAGGGGCACGTGCACCGCCCCCGCCCCCCCCCCTTTTCCCGTCGCATGTCAAGGCAACCTGAGGGGCGACGTGGGGGAGGTGGGCGAGCGTCGCCCCTTCTGCCGCCTGTTTTGGTGCCCTGGGAGACCGCGCGTCACCCCCCCCCCCCGCTAACCTCCCTACCCGCCGTCCCGCCGTGCCCTGTGTTAGGGTCTGGGGGTGGCGAGTAGGGGGTGACGAGTGTGTGGTCTCCCCTGCTCCTCCTCCTCCTTCGTCTCCCACTGCTGCAGCTGTCGCTGTGGGGGGTGGATGTGTGGGAGCTTGGGGTTTAGGGTTTAAGGGGGGTGCTGTGGGAGTGGAGATAGGGTTTGAGGGAGGTGGATGTGTGTGAGCCTGCGGTTTGGGGTGTAAGGGGGGTGCTATGGGAGTGGAGCTAGGGTTTGAGCAGGGGGTATGTGTCGAGAGGTGTGGGGCAGCTGGAGGAGGTTAGTTGAACGGAGGTTGTCTTCGTGTCGTCAGCACCACCATTAGTCCGGGGTATTGCTCCGGTAGCCCAATCGTAGCCAGCTGTGCCAATCGCCCGTGGGTCCGTTGCTCGTTTGCCACTAGTTTTAGCCGCGGAGCCAGTTACTCTAGTAGTCCAGAGCGTTGTTCTAGTAGCCGCTGTGCCAGTGTGACTCCTGTTGCCCGTGTGTCTGCAGCTTCAGCCGTCGCCTCCTATCTCCTCTCCTCTTACAGTCTCGCCTCCTCCTCCTCACTTACCCTTTGTGAATGACTCTAGCTTTGCTCGCTATTGTGAACTCCTGCACTGTGCCTGCTTGCTCATTGTGCTAATTACACCCCACTTTGGCTATGGGGGTGTGTCAGAATGTTATTCTCTATCCTGTAGTGGGGTGCTCTATAGCGAGTACAACCCATTTAGGGTTTGCTATATGTATCCTCATTGCTGCTAGTGCAACTCACTCTTCTTCATTGTCTCGTTCTAATCTTCACATGGATGTCTCCTCTAAGCCTTGGCAGCTGTGTAGGCTTCACCTGTGGGCAACGGGGAGCCTTAACACTGTGCTGCGGGGAGAGAAGATTAACGCCACGGAACGCACGACCCTTTTCTACGCTCTGTATTACTTTGCCCAACTTCTCAGGTACCTGAATTTTTTGAAGGCTTGAAAACCATGCGTAGTCCTGGGCCTCCCAGTGTGGGGGGGTGCCAGTAGATCTGCACTGTGGATGCCTGATTGATCCTGGAGAGGGTTACAGGCGCGTTCACCTGGGGGGTTATGGGCGCACTGACCCGCTACTGAAACAAGCCCATTTATCCCAATGGTCTAGTGGTTGGGATTCTAACAGATCTAGGATCGAGCTCAGAAAAGAGAATGAGAATTGAGTCGAATTGAATTATCACCTGGGTACAACACGAGGCTATATATAGGCTCGACACAAGGCCCCGTAACCAGGTGTTACGCGAAGGTTCCGCGGGTCGCGTGTCAGATTAGATGACATAGCTATTGTAGGCTATAGTGGAATAGCACATATGGGGTACAACTTTTAGGGGTTTGTATTTGTACCCAAGTTTCATTTAGTCAATTCATTCTCGTTTCAGTTTTCTCATGGTATCAAGCAGGTTCCCTCGTGGGAACTGTGCCTAGGGCCCACCAAGTCATTTTTTTTTTTTCTGCCCAGAGCGCGCTCAGCCCGAGTCGCTCTCCCCTCTCTGATCTCGTCGAGCCGCCCTAGCGGCTGCGTTGCGCCACCCTCGCGGCCCCTGATCCGTCGCCCTAGCGGCCCCGTCGCCCTAGCGGCCCCGTCGCCTAGCCCTACGGCCCCGGTGCCGCCCTTCCCGGCCCCGATCTGCCGCCTTGCGGCCACGTCGCCTATCCCTGCGGCCCTCGCGCCGCCCATTCCCGCCCCCCTCCTTGACCCCGGCCCTTGTAGTCCGTCGTCCTTCCTCTCCTCCGCAGAGTATTCCCCTGCCGTCCCCTCCTACGTCTTCTCTGCCTTCGGTTCTTGAGCCTGAGTCTGACCGCGCTCGTGCTGCTCACCGTACTATTACGCCTCTACTAGCCACAGTTGTCACTGACCCCTCGTTTGAGTCTACTGCTGCGTCTGCCTCAGTCGCTGAGCTTGTTGACTATGCTGGTGCCTGTCGTCTATACTACGCCACCAGACTTGTTGTTCAATCTGAGTCTGTCTCTCCTCCATTCGTCGGGGGTGAGTGTGCTCTTGGCATGGACGTCATTGAGGATAAGCAGGAGGACCTTGAGTGTCTTCCAGCCGCTTTGCCCCATCTCGTGTCCATGCTGCTTGCCCTTGAGTGAGACCCGGATGCTCCAGACATCCCGACTCGGCGCTCTTACGCTGAGGCGATCGCGGGTGAGTACTCCTCTTAGTGGCAGACAGCCATGGATGCAGAGATGGCATCCTGGAAGTCCACAGACACGTACAATAACGAGGTTCCCCCTCCAAGGGCGAATATCGTCAGTGGCATGTGGATTTTCAGGGTGAAGCGGCCGCCAGGTTCTCCGCGTGTCTTCAAGGCTCGTTACGTTGCTCGAGTTTTCAGTCAGCGAGAGGGAGTTGACTTCTTCCAGACCTTCTCCCCCACCCCAAAGATGACCACTCTTTGGGTGCTGCTGCACGTTGCCGCTCAGCGTGACTACGAGCTTCACTCTCTTGACTTCAGCACAGCTTTCTTGCAGGGCAGCCTGCACGAGGAGATCTGGCTGCGTCGCCCGCCTGGCTTCACAGGGTCGTTCCCTCCTGGTACCCAGTGGAGCCTCTGGCGGGCGGTCTACGGTCTTCGCCAAGCGCCACGTGAGAGGCACGATACAATGAGGATGACACTTGCGGCTCTTTGGTTTGCTCCGTTGACTGCTGACCAGTCGCTATTTCTGCGCACCGACACATCGCTGCAGCAGTTCTACATCCTCGTGTACGTCGACGACTTGGTCTTTGCTACTGCTTGAGAAGGAACGAGAATGACTACTCTAAGGAATGAAAGTGATACAAATGTGCAACCCTAGAAATGTGTACCCCATATAGGCTACCCCACTACAGCCTACACAACATTATAATTTGACACACCCCCATAGGCAAACTGGCGGAGAACAAGGGGTCACAAGACCAATAAAGCAAGGCAAAGCAAAGCTCAGGGTGGATCATTAAGTCACCACACATTCTGAGCTCAAGTTCAAGGCCTGAAGGCCAGTTCACATGCAGGAGCACATAGATATATAAAAGGCTAAAAGAGCAAGAGTAGGAGTATATAATGTGACAGTACAAGCAAGGTCAAGAAGTGAGCAAGTGAGGCAAGACAGGCACAAGACCAAGCTAAGTACAGAAGCGCTAATGATCACAAGGCGCAAGTGCGCAGTGTTGGCCTCAGAGGCCACGTACGCAAGTCGCAACTGACCACGCTGCTGCAGCTCACGAGCAAGAAAGTAGCGGAGAGCAATGTGCTTCGTTCTGTGCTCCAAGCGCTGCTCCCGACACAAGGCCAGCATGGCCTTGTTGTCGACGTACAGCACTGGAGGAGAACGAGGCGGCTCTCCGAGGTCAGTCGGCAGGTAGGTGAGCCAGCGAAGCTCCTGAGCAGCCATGGCTCCGGCGTAGATCTCAGCCTCACAACTGGAGCCGACAACGGAAGACGAGCGAGTAGCCCGCCACGAAACAGAGCCGGAACCAAGGCTGAAGGTGTAACCCTATGACGACCGCTGTGTAGCCTGGCCGTCAGCCCACGAAGCGTCTGCGTGTCCAGTGAGGACCACTGGACTCCGCCCTCCAAGCACTAGCCCCATGCCTAACGTACTGCACAAGTAGCGCAACACCCTCTTCGCTGCAGCCATGTGCTCCGGTGTATGTCTCCCAAGAGCAACATAGCGTGCAAGAATGCTAAGAGGGTATGCAAGGTCAGGTCGTGTGCAAGTCATCAGGTACATGAGGCAGCCAACAAGCTCTGGGTACGGGCCACTCGACTCTACGGACTCATCCGAAGGCAGAGCTGAGAGCTAGTGGCGAGTAGGCAGAGGAGTGGCCTGAGGCGAGGAGTACGTGAAGCCGAAGCGCTGAAGAACTTGCTGCACCATGTGTGACTCAGTCAGGGTAATGGTGCGGCGTGCTCTGTCCCGAGTGATCTGCAAGCCAAGGTAGCTGCGCAGTTCACCCAGGTCTGTGCACGTGTGTCTCTTCTACAGCTCGGACTTCACGTGGGCGAGTCCAGTAGTGTCAGCAGTGGCAAAGACCAAGTCGTCAACGTACACGAGGATGTAGAACGGCGGCGAAGAGGTGTCGGTGCGCAGAAACAGCGAAGGGTCGGCAGTAGAGGGAGCAAACCCAAGAGCCGCAAGCGTAGTACTTAGTGTGTCGGGCCACTCACGTGGTGCATGGCGGAGACCGTAGACTGGACGCCGGAGGCTCCAGTGGGTGCCAGGAGGGAAAGTCCCAGTGAGGCCAGGTGGGCGGCGCAGCTTGATCTCCTCGTGCAGGCTACCCTGCAAGAAAGCAGTGTTGAAGTCAAGACAGTGAAGCTCGTAGTCGCGCTGAGCGGCTATGTGCAGTAGCACCTGAAGAGTGGTCATCTTCGGGGTGGGAGAGAAGGTCTGAAAGTAGTCAACTCCCTGCTGCTGACTGAAGCCACGAGCCACGTACCGCGCCTTGAAGACAGGTGGATAACCTGGCGACCGCTTCACCCTGAAGATCCACATGCCACTGACGATGTTCGCCCCAGGTGGGGGAACCGCGTCAACGTAGGTGCCTGTGGACTTCCAGGAAGCCATCTCTTCATCCATAGCTGCCTGCCACTGAGAGGAGTAGGGACCCTCTACGGCCTCCGCGTAAGAGCGCGGAGTCGGGATGTCAAGTGCATCCGGGTCTCCCTCAGGGGTAAGTAGTACGGACACGAGATGAGGTGAAGCAGCAGCCAGACACTGGAGCTCCTCCTGCCTGTCCTCAAGGACGTCCGTGCCAAGAGCAGACTCACCCCCGACAGACGGAGGACAGACAGAAGCAGACTCAGCAACAAGAGTAGCAGCGTAGTCTAGACGACAGCGAGCAGCAAAGTCGACGAGCTCAGCAACTAGAGCAGACGCAGCAGTGGACTCAAAGGAGGGGTCAGTGACGACAGTAGCAAGGAGACGCGTGACATTAGGACTAGCAGCACGAAGTGAGTCCGACTCCGGATCGTCATGGGCAGGAAGAGAGGACGCTGGAGGAGAAGGCAAAGGGACACGCAGAGGAGTAGT